TGCACTTGACCTCTTGCCAGGTCCACAGGCCAATCACAGCTCCTCTGCCCGCCCCACCAGGCCCTGCACACTTGCTGACAGCTAAGTGCAGAGATCAAGGAGAGCCCAACGTCAGGTGCCCTGCTCTCAGCACAAATGAGCCTTGGAGCGCCAGCAAGCAGCACTGAGGAATTGCCTTCAGCTTCCCAGGCAACTTCTGCAGGTGATTATAACGGGAGAAGTCATGGTCTCCCGCTGAGAACGCAGAACTGGCGCCCTTGGAGCCAGGAGGAATCCCTCTCGGAGGCCTAAACTCAGGCAGAACTGATTTTTCTGAGGCTTGGAGGAAAAATAAAATCTGATTTAATTCTTAGGAAATTGCTTTTTTTTACCCACTGTGTAAGCCTGTATTTAAATGCCAGTATTTGGAGGCCTTCTGGGATGCTCCATTTATTTTCTTCTTTAGCAGCAAGGAGAATCATTTATTTTCTTCAGCTCCTACCTGCTTTTCTGAGTTCCTCACCCTCATTTCCCTCTACTGGCTAGGCACTTCTCTCCCTAAGACATAAAAATCTGTAGCCATCTCTCTCCCCAGACCTGATCCTCCTGCCTTCCCTACCTGTGTCTGTGGGTGTGCTGGTGGCTCTGTCTCCTCCCCTCCCCCTAAACTCTCCTGTAGCTGTCACTTGTCACTAATTCCCACCCCCCCGTGCCGCCCTCCCTACACAGTAATACCTAACCTCGCCAAAGCCTCCACTTTCTCCTCTATAAAATGGGGATGATGAATAATGATATCCAAACACCTGGCAGTCTTGTTACTTTTCAAGATCAGGTAACATGACACAAATACAACCCAGAGACAGAACCTGGCCCACAGAGTCACAGAGCACAGTGATGTTTTCATGATCGTCGTGACTCCCACAGATTCTGCTCTTTTCTTCTTCTTGGTGTACCCTTCAGAGCTGGCCAGCAAACTCGGGGAGGTCCTGTCCTGCTGATTCAAAAGCAATGGGCTGGCCACGTGTTTTATTATTTGCATCCAAATAGTTTGCTGTCTGGAATTCTCCACTGTATGAATTTGGTTTACGGTCTGAGTACTTCTTCCTCATTTTGACCTCTAAAATACAATTTCCACACAGGAACGGATTTTGTTTTATTCACCAATGAATCCCTGCTGCCAGGAGCAGAGTAGATATTGAGTATTTGTTGAATGAATAAATGTGAAGAGAGGAGCTCAGGGCTGCAGAGCAGAGGATGTCTGGACCAGGCAGGTCAGGAAGCACTTGGTCCCAGAGGCAAGGCTCCCTTCTCCACTCTGCTCGCCGCCCAGAGGCTGGGACTGAAACCACATTTCTGCTTCGCCAGTGCCCGAGACAGGCTCTTGCAGTAGGGAGAGGAGCTGTGGCTGGAGTAAGGGGACAAGGGAACCTGCTCCTCCCCGGCTGCTTCCTCTCCTGCCTGCGTCCCAGAGATGGCTGTCCCCTCCAGCAGAGACAGGAGTTTTGCCTCATCATCATCCCTGTAATTCTACACTTCCAGTGTCAACCTCTTAGCCCAACTTCAGAGACACCAGTGCCAGCCAGCAGGCACCCCTCCTGGGATCTCTCTCTGCCACCAAGGGGTCCTCTGCCCAGGTTCCAGGTCCAAGGGATCTCAGCCCCTTTCATTTGTCCCCACCTCAGCCCTGGCTGTAATGATGGAGCGACTTCCTGCGTTTCTATCTCTGTGATTCTCCCCATCCCTTCCAGACATCTGCTGTCCTCCAACACCTGCTTTGTATGCTTCTATTTGACGTGGCTCCTCCTGGCCGGACAGTGACTGACCCCTGTCTAACTACATCTCTCTCTGCCTCCCCTCCCCTCCCAGCCCACCTCACCCCACCCTACAATTTGGCCATGGAGGGAATTCCTTTCAGGACAAATGTCTCCATTCTCCCCAGCAATGAGTTTGATCATAATGGTCAGTCCCTTCTTTCTTCCAATACAGAGGGAAGATAAATCTCCTTAACACGGTCAGTCACTTTAATTTTGAACCCTAGCGACATGCAAAATTTCTGGGAATTTTAGGGATTGAAATTCTGCTTCAGCTCTGTGGCCATTGAGAGGTTGCTTGCCCCCTCTGGCCCTGTTTCCTCATACACAGAGTGGGTTGTATAATAATGGCTGCCTCCTGGGGCTCTAATGAGGACTTGGTGTGAGGGAGTACTTAGAATCGCCTGCACAGAGAAGGAACTCAGTGAACACGGTGTCATTGTCACCCTGGTAGAGGCCAGCAAGCCTGTCCTCGCTCAGCCTTCACCAGGCAAAGACACCACCTGCAGCCCCATCTGCCTGCCCTACTTCCTGGAGCTGGTGTGTGAGGAGCCCATCAGAGGTTTCAGGTGGAGAGATAGCTCTGGCTTCCCCAATTCCCTGGATAAAATGTGTCTGTGAAAGTCAGGCTGACTAATTACGAGCCTGCCGATGGTCTAATTTCCCTGGTGCCACCTGAATGCTCTTCTCCTGTCCCTTATCTGCAGAATAGCGTGTTCCTTGGGCAGAGAACAGTCCTGTATTCTATCATGAGTCCAACCCTGGCACAACTTGCCTTCCTTTTCCAGGAATGTTCTGGACACAGTGAACACCTTACCTACACTGAGTGTGGGGGGAAGGCTTTGCTGTGTGGTACTTCGGACACTGCTGACCCTCTCTGGGCCTGACTTATTTATCTAAGACTGAGTGTTCACACACATGCTGTCTCGTACAGATCAAAGAATCCAGAATGCTTTAGGGGAGAAAGAAGTCAGAGCCTGGTCTGTGATTTCCCATGATGGTGAAGCTTTGCCCTCGTGCCCTCTGTGCATTTTCACCCTCCTTTCCCTGTGGCCAGCTACATTTCCACCTCATGAAATCTTTTCTAACTACAGCCTCAATTTCCTCAAGCTTCTCTTCTGGAATTCTCTGACCCTCACTGATGTGAACAGTGATTTTGTAACAGGTTCCTGAGGACACAAAGATCCCATGTCACACTGGCCTCAGAGCCTTCCACAGGGTTCTCATGGGACTGGGGAGCAGTCGGTATTCCAGAGTCCAGGCTGATGGGGATGTCCCTCCTCAAGTAGTGCAGGAGTTACGGAGTGTTTGGGGAACAGGAGCAAGGATGGCTTCCGCAGCAACAATCCAACCGGCAGCAGAAATAGCCTTTGCCATTGACCTCATAACCTGTGCGTGTCCCATGCTGGATGCTGCAATGAGCACATTAACTTCATTTCAGCATCCCCCAAGTCTTCAGTAAAGACTACGTGTGACGGCTAATCTGCTGGTCAACTAGACCAGATTGAGAGGTTGAGGTACTCGGTCAAGCACACTTCTGGTGTGTCTGCAAAGGCCTTCCAGAGATGATTGGCATGTGAGCAGGTCAACTCAGGGGAAGACTTGCCCCAAACATGGACAGCATCGTCCAATAAGCTGGGGCCCGGATGGAACAAAAAGTGGAAGAAGAACAGGGAGGCAGGTCAATGCAGAGGGTGCCTTTTTGCTGCGGCCATCCTGGATTTGACTCCAGCTTCGTCAGCCTTTGGATGCAGACTCACATAGGCTGTGTCCTACATCCAGGGAGCTCAGTAAATACTGGACAAGAAGTGAGAGAAGGAAGGGTTGAATACTGCTTACAGCCCAGACACCACGTGCGTTTGAACCAGGACCTTCCATACTGTGAAGCTGAAGAGCAAATCACGTGGGGCCACGCAAACCCCAAGATATCAAGCACCATGGGAGCTGTCTGCCTGGCCCATGGTATATGGCAACTGATACAGGGCGAGCAGACGTGGAGGGTATTGGAGCTTAGAAAAAGGCCAGTGCTTGTGGACTAACTCCTGGGCTTCTTCCTGGAGTAAAAATTTATTGGTGATCATCCCAAGGGTTGAGGTCTGTTTCTTCAGGATTCACTTCCACCTGACTCCTCGAAGACGAGGAAGACAGCAGATGAAGACATGGTACCTGGGTTCTGGCTTATGTGGCATTTCAGCAACCCACGGTCTCTGTTCTGAACCAGGTTCCCTCAGACATCCCAGAGAAAGCAACAAGGCCTTCAGGGACTTTCCAAATCAGCAAAGACAGCAGAGCTGGGCCTTGTAGGGGGTATGTCCCGTGCCTCTTCCGCCCTACACAGTCTTGGTGCCGTTGTTACTAACCAATGTTGGGTTTCGCGTTTGCATGACACCTTGCAATTCCTCTGTGACAAGTACTGATTGCAATTGGTTATTTCAGTCTCGGCCATCACCTGATGTCATTTCTGACGACCACTCTCTTAATCAGGAAAGCCTAATTGCACTCCTCCCCTCTCCCAGTGAGGCAGCACAAACTTCTGCCTGCTCTGCAGGGGCAGAGGCTGGAACTGAGCAGTTTGACTTCAGTTGAGGGTCCCTGCAAGGAGGCGCTGGCAGTTCTGAGTCAGGGAAGACAAGGTTGTGGGATAGGCAGATCAAGCTCGCTCTGTCTGTCTGTCTGTCTGGCCCCTGTGCTCAGGCCAGTTCCCCAGGGGCTCCCCACCCAGCCTAGCTTCTCCTTGATGCAAACCAGGCCCCTAGAGGCTGCCTGCAAACTTTCCACTGAGTGCTGGCCAGTCTCAGCTTCCTGCTCTGTGGGGAGGTCTCCCAGACCCCATCCAGTCACGGAGAGTTGATCTATTAGATTAGTCAGGAAGGAGAGCGCGGGAGAGCGAGCCAGTGAGTGAGCTGGGAGGCTGCGGGGCTGTTTTCTGCCTAGCAGTCCCCCACTGGAGTATTAATTGCTACATTACTGCTGTGTATAGCAGAGAGAGTCGGAAACCCGGGAGGCTCCAGCTCCTCCCTCCCTAATCTGCTCAGTTTCACGCTCATCCTCGCTTCTCCACAAGCTGCTAGTGCCCCGGCAGGGCCATCCAACCCTGGCATCCCCAGGGCCTCCTATAGCAGGGAGGACTTGAGTGGACAGCACTCAAGGGGGTGGAGAGACGAGGGATTGTTCTCCCTGCAGGCTGTCTGGATGCAGAAGCCGGACTCGCTGCAGAGACAGCCGTGCTGTTCCCGGAACCAGGCTTCTGGGGTGCACCCACCCCTCAGAGATCATCCAGGCAGGCTCCAAGGTCCAGGGGCACACTAGGTGGGTGCTATCCCTTCTGGGTGCTGACAGCAGAGCCTGGCTCCCCTCTGCCACCATGAGCGGCTGCTCCAAAAGATGCAAGCTCGGTTTTGTGAAATTTGCTCAGACCATCTTTAAGCTCATCACCGGGACCCTCAGCAAAGGTAGGGAGACTTGGCCTTGACCTTGTTTCCTTCCTGGATGTGCCCAGACCGGTCCCGTCACCTCCGTGTGTCAAGTGTGGCGGTTCTGGTGTGCATGGGTCTCAGAGGCGGCTGGGGGAATCGTGGCTGAGATGGGAGGTTGCTGATGACCTGGGTCCTGGCTCTGAGCAATGGGCACCCTGCCTAGGAGCTCAGCTGCCTGTAATTGCCTGGACTTTGGAAATAGAGTTGGTCGTGTGTGGCTGATTGGTCTGGGCAGGCAGAGGAGCAGAGTCCTTTCCAGAGCACTGGAAACACTGTAGCATGACTGGAGTTTCAAGAAGTTATCCACGGAGTGTTGTGTTGTGGTGATAAGGGAGAGATTTGATGCAGTGGGCTGTGAGCAATTCTGCAGAGCAGAGAAGCTTGAGGGGACCAGCAGGAGGTGACCATGGGGCTGGTGAATCCAGAATCCAGATCAGCTCCGCCATCACACGCCAGGAGCTTCTCTTGTGGGATTCCAGGGCTCTGTGCCCCTGGACTCGGGTTGTGGTTCTGCTTTCTTGAATGGCTGTCTCTCCATATCGCTGCCCACGTCCAATTGGTTTTCCTGCTTCTCCAAGAACTGGTGACAATTTGCAGGGATTAACTCTCCTGTGTCTGTGGACCAGAATTAGGAATGTACGTTCACCGTCAGCCACACACGGTGGAGACCCACTTCTCAGGGGCCCCAGTTCACTTTCTGAGCCAGGGGTGAGGGATACTCGGGGACTCAGGCAAACTTTCTGGAGATAAATTTAAAGCAGCATGATGTGGTTCTACTGGCTGAAAAAATGTCTTTAAATATTCATAGCCTCTTTCAGGAAGAGTGAGTCCTCCTCGAGGGAGAGGCACTGGAAGCACAGGCAGAATGCTGTCCCACAGCCCAGGACTGGCATTTTGAAAAATAGCAATGAGAGCAGGTGAAGGCTGGGTGTGGCCAGCTCTGTGATGTGGCCCAGGTTCCCAGCTGCCCAGTGGGCCACCTGGTGTGAATCAGGTGACAGTGGGAATGGGGGATGTTGAGGTTTGTCTTATCTCCTTTCTCGGGCCTTTTAGCACTCCTCTTTCTCTACCATCTTTCCAAAATAGGACACTGCTATCACCCCCCATGATACCCAGGACCCTTGAACGCCCAGTGTTGAGGATCACTGCAGGCCTGGAGTGGGGTGCACAGGAGGAGGGCAACAGCTCTCAATGGCTTCATTTTCTGGAGGAGGAGGAGGGAGGGCATGGGAGAGTCCACAAAGCCCCCCTGCCCCCAGCTGGACCCTCAGGGACATCAACACCTTGGTGAGTGGCAATGATAGCAGCATCTTGTCCCTGCCTTGGCTTCCCAGAAGTGCACCAGCAGGTGCTCCAGCCTGGGTACAGTGAAACCTGAGTCTCAGCCCTGGCTCTACTACCTGGGAGAGACTTGACCTCCCTGGGGCTGTTTGTTCAGCGGTAAAACAGTGCCTTACCTCTTGCCTGGCTACCTCTGAGCATGGTTGCAAAGGTTCAGGGAAGTCTAGACTGCAGTCCTTTTATGGAGTGCATTGCCATTGCCGTGACCAGATGCAGGAAAGGGGTCAGAGAGCATGAGATAGCATGGGTCTGCAGAGGGTGATCCAGACCCCCTTCAGATCCAGGATCAGAAGCTCTTTGATTTTGCCAAGTGCAGGCAGTGGGTCTGAACCCCCCAAAGGCAGCATCAAAGGGGAATGAGACCACAGAAGGAACCTATGCAACAGGAGGAGTGTGAGAATGTGAATCAGCAAATACGACAGTCTGTATGTGTGTGTGCAAGAGAGACAGACAGCTAGAGAGGATGGATGGCCATGGGAAAAAGTGGCATATTTGCCTGTGTTCATTCACACCACACTTCTTACTGAGCACCTCCTGTGTGCTGCGTTCATCTCTAGACACTGAACACATGGAGGACACAAGGCAACCCGGTCAGGATGCACGCAGTCTAGAGAGGCACAGACCTGACACCTGGATCCCACTTGGACATCACACTTAGTACTGAGATGCAGGGATGTCTGGGGACCAATGAGCACAGAGAGAAGAAACCAGGGCAACCGTGAAGGGCTCCTCCATAAAGTAGCCCCTAAGATGAGAAGGGAGGAGAGGCAGGGCTGAGCAGGGGGAAGGAGGAAGGTGGTGGCAGAGAGAGCCACCTTGAAATGGTGGCCTCTGCAGCAAAGGCAGCTAGGAGGACAGGACTGTCCCCCTCACCTGGTTCAGAATCTCATAAACTGAGATCCACATGACATAGAAGGGCCTCATGGGGACCAATGCTGGGGACAAAGTAGTTGCCTGGCCTTCCTCTGACCTGTTTCAGTGCCAAGTTTTCTGAAGTCAGGGTCTGGGAGGGAGAGGAGGGTACACAGCAGGCACTGGGGGAGAATGGTGTCTTAACTGCATCTGTGCCTTTGGTCTGGGCTCTGCAGAGAGGACCAAGTGTTTACACAGCCCTGGCTCTGCGCCAGGCACGTGCGGGGGCACTGGTGCTCTCCCCAGCCCAGGTGTTTGTTAAATACTTTCTAAATAAGTGATGACCACAGGAGCAGGGCCAGGGCTGGAGTGGGGCAGCTGAGACTGGTCTTCATGGAGTCTAGAGAACGCTTTCTCACACATAGACCTCCCATTAGATTCTGGATTAGATTCTGCCCTACACAGACACATTAGGTTTCCTAATGATTTCTGGCTTTAATTGTGGTTTCACTTATCCATTATTCATTGCACAGAGTCCTAGGTTTGTGATATTCCAACCTCCACAGAAGGATTTTCCTGTCCCTTTGAGGATTAGGGACTGCAAAGTCTGTTGTGCCGTGTTCCTTTTTCTGGTCCTGGGAACAACTCATGATGTATTATAGACTTGAGAATGCCTGGGGGACAAGGGAGACTCAAGACCTCCCTCCCTGTCCTGCCTGCTGCCGGCCCCTGCCATCCCCTCTGCCATTGGTCTAAAGTGCCAGATTTCTCCTTGGGACCCTGCTGTGGAGATGAGCAGCTCAGGCCCCCTGTGCAAACGTCTTGCTGACTTTGAGCTTTTCCTTCCTAGCCACGGTCCTCTGAGGAGTATGTGTGAGAAAGCCTGTCCTCCCCGCTAAAGCCCTAGGAGGGCGCACCCACCTGTGCACCTCACTAACAGTGTTGATAGAGCAACTAATGTGACCCCAGCTCGGAGTAGGTGCCACATCACAGGCATTAGGTGAACAAGACCGTCTATGTGGCAGACACCAGCCAGCCACCTGAGATGAAGCCTGACAAGGGAGCATCCTGGGAAGTTCCACGCAGCATCTGCCTCTGCATGTTCTGTCCTGCTCTTGAACTCTGTTCAACTGCAGGAGCTGCGTTTGAGGCCAAGAGGGAACCTCCAGCCACACAGAGCCTTCACAACTCTGCCTTACCTTTCTTAGGGTCTAAATTGTCCCAAGAGGGACAGGCTTTAGTCACTCCTACCCCACTCCTTCAGTGCTATTTTGTTTTGCAAGCCTGAATCTCTCTGATTTTTATGCTCTTCTTTTGCTTTTAAAAAACAAACAAGTTTGCAAACCAGGCATGGTAGCAGTTTCCTGTAATCTCAGCTACTTAGGCAAGAGATGGATTGAAGCCCAAGAGTTGGAGGGCAGGCTAGACAACATAAAGAGTCCCCGTGTCAAAAATAAATAAATTTTTAAAATAACATTTGCAAACTACAAATGTAACGAGAGGCACCAGTGGTGGCCAGACTGGACATCCCAGGGCTCTCCGCACTGCTGGAAGCCTCCAGCTGGGTCCTCCTGCCTCAGTTTCCCAATCAATAAATTGGAATCATAGCTCACTTCTTGGGAAATTGCATGACACTGTGTCACTCAGCGAATGTCGGTTGCTGTGACTCTGCCAGTGACTGGGCTGTGAAGACTCGGGACTCTGTCCCCCCGGTTGCTTATTTCATAGCATCTGGTACAGACTCAGAGCGAAATTTCTGTGAAGGCCCCTGCCCTGTCACCCAGCTGCAGGATGACTTTAGACCACCCACCTCCCTCTCCCCAGCTTGCTTGCTTAAAGCCCCACCTGAACCTGAGATGTTGGAGTCCACCCCTCACCTGAATCTCCCCTTCGAAGTCAAGATGTGACTCCCAGAGCCAGGCCCTTGCCTACTGTCTGACTTGGGAGAAGATGCCCAGCGCCTGGCTCCATGCCTGGACCAATGTGGGGTCAGAGCCCTGCCTCTCCTTCCTACCCAGCTAGTCCTTGGTCCCTCACAGAGACCTGGCAGCCACAAGCTGTGTAGGCTTCACTCTGGCTGGGGAGGATTGAAGTGTCTTCTGTCCATTGGGAGCAAATCTGCCGCTCCAGGCACAGACAAAAGAGCCAGAGTAAGCAGGAGGGAGGGACCCAATCCAGGAGAGCTTCCAGAAACTCCCAGGCCACCCAGGAGGCTACAGGGTGGGGCGGGGGGGGGCTGAAATCTAAGTCAAGGACAAAGCTATGGAGCATTGGCTCCCCTGCCACCCAGCCCATTGCTACAGATGCATCAGATACACACTGTTCCTCTTGCCTCCTCCCCACTGCTGCTCAAGGTTCTTGAGAACATGACCTTGAACCTGGGATGGACTCTCAGTTCAGGCTGGCTGGGCTTGCCTCCCAACTCTGCTGCCCACCAGCTGCGTAAGGTTCAGTTGCACATCCCAAGCCAAGGTTCCGCACTTTCAGCTGAAGAGAACAGTAGCAGCAATCATGCAGGTGCTTTTGCAATTCACGATGGTCACACGGTGAGCACCGGCAGCCAACAAGGTAGAAAAATTACCAGGGATTAAGGACCAGACTCCCTCAGTGCTGTGCCCTGGGCGCATCCCCTGCCTACCTTAGTCCCAACCCTGAAAGGAACCATTGCAGTCATCATTTTAACAGATAAGGAAACATGCGTAGTTAAACCAGGTGACACAGCCAGAAAGTGACAGAGTTGGGATTGGACCCCAGGTGCTGAAGGGTGAAGAGTGGGAACTTTC